GTGGAACCAATTAAATAAGAAACGAATGTTTAAAAAAACTTCCAAAATCACCTTAGATAAACGGCAAAAGTCAACAGACTTTTCAAAATGCAAAATATTGCCAAACAGGCGCTTTTGCATCTAGTTTCGAAACTAAATCATCCGCGATCGTCTTGTCTGTCTCACCTCACTCTTCTTGTCAGTCAGCTCGACTCACTCTCCTCACTGGAGAAATTAAATCTGATCTGAGATCAGGCACGTTCGGCACGCTGCATTGAGTAGCCGCGTTCAGTTTTTAATTGTAGTGTCTGTTCTTTTACTGAACTAAATTATTTTTATTTCTATAAAAAAATCAAAACGACGGTGGGGGTCGGTGCCGCGGTGGGCATGTGACGTAACCGGTGTTGCGGCTTAACACCGGTATCACCGTCAGCACCGTCTATTGTGGCAAGCCTAATGTCAATCATGATAACTGTTGTCATGGACAATTCTTAATTGGAGTTCAGACTTTGTCTTTGTTGTCAGTGTCACTCTTCTATATGCAGTGGGTGTTTTTAATATTGAATTTCATGTTTGAGCTATATTGGAGGCTTGAGGTCTATATAGGGAACGCAGCATTCTAGAGAAAATATCAGCTGACTTTTAAATAGGGCAAACAGTAAAACGGAACAAGCTTGCTTTTGTCCTGAATATTGTGAGTACTCTGACCTGTTTTGTGTCTGTTGATAGGACTAACATTTCCAGAATCCGAAATAGGAATTGTGTACAAAATGGTAAAACAAAGTAACGAAAGCCTAATGACACAAATATACAAATTTAGCATGACAGACCTCATGTAAATGAACACTTTTCAAATTTTCTTCTTGAAAACCATCTGAAAATAGCTAATTTTCTCTCCTAGGCCTAAGGTGCATTCACAATCATGAAATTTCATGGGCAAAAAAGGACCATTGTCTATCGTCAGTAGTGTAGCAAGGTATGAAGCACAGCACACGCTGAAGTCACTTTCAAACCAAGCAGCTTTCTGTTGGTCAGTAGCCGGGTTTCCATCCAAAGTTTCGAATTTAACTTCACATAAAATATTGCATAAAACATTTGTGAATAAGCACAGTTTCCATCAAACGAGTCAAGGAGAACAAAATAGTCACTTCCTGATAAACTGGCACTAAATATCAATAAGAAAAGTAGGAGAAGACACTGAATATAATAATGTTCATATATAATAAATTAGTTGCGCCTCACAGCGAGCAGACGAAAACACAATAAATGCGGTCATTGCTTTCGGAGGTGGATACCTGCTGTTTGGGAACAGTTGTGTAAGACAGTTCTTGGAGGCAATTATACAGAAATACTTTGACGACAGATTTTGCTCTGGCATTTCAGAATGACCATAACATCATTTCAGATGCTATGCAATTAGATTGGTCTGCTGGTTAGTCAAGTTATCCCGTCCCATAGTGCAAAGTCACATTACCTTTTTTGATGTGCATGGGGGAATTTATTTGGCAAATGCATTTCCATCTCCCATTATTCACATTAACCCTTTTCCGCACAAGTCAAAAACCACCTTAAGCGAACGTAAAAACTTTTCTTTGTGAATTAAGGGATTTTTTTGGGGGGATATTTGGCGTTTCCATCACTTTTCTTTTTTTTTTTTAGATTTTTTTTTGCCATTTTTGCCTTTATTATGACAGGACAGATCAGAACTGACAGGAAGCGAAGTGGGAGAGAGATAGGGAGCGGGAAAGGTCCTCAAGTCAGGATTCGAACTTGATGGCAGTAGTGCAACTGTGCTGTATCTCATTGCACTGCCCACAAGGCTATCAGCGCTGACTCCATCACTCGTTTCCTGTGATATACTTCAAAATGTGCATAAAAACAGGGTGATGGAAACATTGCTACTGTGGCAAATCTGTCTGACCAAATCTGAGAGAATTTCCTATCATATATTCTTCAAAAGGACTGGGTATCATCTGTGGAAATTTGCAGAACAATGAAAAATGTGTCCACACCTTAAGATACATAAATTAAGGATGGGTCAGGGTGAGTAGAGTTGAGTAGTCGTTCAGTAACCAACTAGTCAGGTTTGAACATTTGTAGTTTCGCACCTGTCTGGTAAAACTAAGCATGTTTTCAGTAGAATACTGACCACCCTGTATGTTTGATTGTGGTTGACAGTGAGTACATCAGTTTTGCCTATGAAATAATCTTAAAGCATTGCCGATGATCAGTTTCAAACAAAACGCTAAGTTTTTGAAGGACAATAAAGTTGAGGGCTGTTTTAGTACAAAAAAAAAAAAAAAAGAACCCAAATTCTGTACTTGCAGCCAAGTGGAGTTTTGCAAGAGTGTTTGATTTGTAGTGAACTACTAGTTGAGCAGCTTTGAATATGTAAGGTGATCTAGACTGTAGTAAGGGCAGGTCTGTGCAGTCTTGTTTCCCTAGTGCTGCAGTTCTTGAATCTAACACATGACCAGAGAGGTTATTGAGGGCGATGTGTTGATCACGCCAAGGTCAACGCTGAAACGGCCACTCCTTTATAACTCACAAGTCTATGTACTCAGTGACATGAATCCACGCTGTTAATTAGTAACAGAAGTGGAGGACCACTTCACTGAATTTTAATTAAGATGCAAATCACCACTTGAACTCTTGAGGTTTCTGTGAAGGGAGTCGTGTAAAATGAGGCCCCATTCCATTTCTTCATTATTTCTCATTTTCTTTCTTCCAAAAATTCAAAAGAAGCAGTTGTCAGTTCAATTCGGATGTTGCCTTTTTAAATGTCTTGTCATGTCTTTGCAGGTATCTTATCAGTCAAGGTGCAAACGTCGGTGTAGTAAACAGCGAGGGAGAAACGCCACTGGATATTGCAGAGGAGGAGGCCATGGAGGAGCTTCTGCAAAACGAGACATGTATAGTATAAAGACCCATTCATAATTAGTGCTGGGTAAAAAATATAGATATCTCGATATTAATCGATTCTCATTTTTACGGAATGATATCGATTCTTAAATCCCAAGAATCAATTCGTTTTCAGTTAATGGATGGAACACTGAAGCGCACCTCCCATCCAATATATCGCAATAAGCATTGTGTTTTGGTACTTTTAATGAAACAAAGTCTCAGATTTCAAATTCTGTCCATTGTATTGCAGTATTCAAACAATAAATGCCGTTTTGGCGCTGTTTAATGTGAAGTGACAGA